CCTTTTAAAATATCACATCAACCTCTCAGAATTTATTTATTGTTTTAAAGTTCCAAATTGTGCTGCTTCATCAGGGGTACAATAAGGCTCCTTCTTAAATAACTCATTAGATTATGTTGTTAAAGATATGTTAACTAGAAGATTAGAAATAATGATAAAGTAGAAAAAAATGTTTTCAAGATTTTAAAGATGCGAAAAAAGTTTATTAATGGTACTTGTAAAAAATTAAGTATGGTGGAAAGTATGGTTTTTATGCCATGATGGATTTTGTGGAAAAAATATGAAGAAATTACTCTTCATTTGCTGTTCTCCTGTGAGGAATTGTGGAAAGTATGGTCTTTATGCCATGATGGACTTTGTGGAAAAAATATGAAGAAATTACTGATCATTTGCTGTTCTCCTGTGAGGAATCGTGTGGAAAATATGATCTTTTGGTCATGATGGATTTTGTGAAAAAAATATGAAGAAATTACTGATCATTTGCTCTCCTTTGTGAGGAATTGTAGAAAGTATGGTCCTTATGTTATGCTTGGTTTTGTGGAAAAGATGAAGAAATTATAGATCATTTGCTGTTCTCCTGTAAGGAATCATGGAAAGTATGGTCTTTATGCTATGATTGGTGGGGATTAAAGGCTGCCGCACATGGGAACTGTAGAAGTCACTTCTTACAACGTATTGGCTTGGTTCGAAGAGGGGTTCAAATAGACTCTTGGACAGTAATTCGGTTTGCAACAGCATAGTCCTTGTGGCTTTAGAGAAACCAAAAGATATTTAAGAATGAGGAAAAATCCCCTGGTGAGGTTTTTTGACCTAATTAAATTTAGAACTCTTTCCTGGATTAAAGCTAAAACAGGGATGGACTTGTTAGAGAAACTATGGTGCAAGAGTCCAAGGAAAGCGCTTAAGTCACTTAACTAAGTTTTTGGATGTTCTTTTAATCTGTACGCCCTTTGTCATTGAGGCTGACAAAAAGTTTTAAAGAGAAATTATGTTGTGTCTTTTTTCTTTTTTCTTTTTTTAACCTCATAAAATTAATTTTTGATATTATAAATAGTTAAACTTTTAACATTAGTTTTAAATTAAAGTTTTTATTAAATTAATATAGATATCAACTCAATAAAATTCATATTAGTATTATGTTTTATGTTCATTGTTTTTGTAAGGTGATATTTTTGTGCACTTTGTAATAAGCACGAATACTCCATGCACTTTAATTAATAATATTTTTCCTTGCTGATAAAAAAAATATATTAAACACCACGGAAACTTGAACTTAATCTTTGGTTAGCATGGGAGTTGTGTTCACATGTTCAGACTCATTTCATCTAAAAGTTTGATTTATATTAGTAATTTAGCATAGAGTTAGCATAAAAGAAATTATTGGTTGAAGAATCTCTATATCATATTACATATGATTAAATTGTTATTTTTCAATTCAAATTACACAAAAAAATATAGTTTAAATTAAAAAAAATTTTAAAATAATATATCAACATTATGAAGCACGTGCTTTTTTTATTATAAAAAATAATTTCATTAAATAAGAGTATAAGTGATATTCTAATCTATACAACACACTCTAAAAATTTCAACAATTGAATTTCAAAAAATATAACAAGAGAGTCAATCTTTCAAGTCACAAATACTCATTCAAAGCCACGCAATCCTATTTGCTGTTTTCTAGCATGAAACAATAAGGGATGATCGAAATGTCTAGCGCCTTAACTTTTCTAATGAGTTTTCAGATAAATAACCATATATAAAAGTTAAACTATAACAAACATAACTAATCATAAGTGGGGCTTGTTCAATTAAATTAATACCACTCTATAAGCAAGGATGAAATGCATAATAGTCAATTTTCCTCCACTGGAGTTCAATTAGTTTCAATTTTCCATTCTAAACTCGAAACAGAATGTGAGAATGCATATATGTAAGAGAATAGTTTCCACACCAAACCATGTTATTAAGAGAGGAAGAAAAACCATGTGAATGTGGTTGAGAATAATATTTGCACCCAGATCTTGAACAAGTGACTGTGTGCGCCTGTGATTGTGTTTGGCAGAAGTGATTTATAAGTATTTTCAGTGTATCATTACCTTTAGTATAGCTATCCAGCATGCTATCTCAAGTGCCTGAGCAGCTTCACCCTTCATCAATAATAACCAAATTGAATGAACTATTTTCCACTTTGCGATAAAATGCACCAGTCAAAGTTGTCAACAAAACATCTGCACCCTTAATTACATCTGTCACAGCTAGCTGCTGCCTTTTCTGCTCTTCTTTGGAAAGATTCCTAAGCTCTTTCTGGATATCTCTCCTCGTATTTCTGTCTTTGGTTTTCAATAACTTCCCATTAAGAGCCTGAAAAAATGCAGTGAGGCATATTGAGGACTGAATTAGAAGTAAAATTATCTATTTCAGCAAGGATGAAATGATTCCATTCCAGAGAACTTGATAGCGTTTTAATGAACTGTCAAAAAGGGTTGGCTTTTGATATCAAAAACATAAGTTAATTAGCAATTATTCTTTATAGAAATTCTTGCTAATGCTGTTCTAGCTAAATGGCTCTAAGGCACAAAATATGAGTTTATAATGGAAATTCTAGGAACTACAGTTGCGGCTGGAAATAAAAAGGCCAAGATGTTCAGATGTTGTTTAAAAGTAACAGGACTATCAAAGACCTTTTAAGAGGTCAAATATGATTAAAAAAAAAATAAAGCTCACAGTATACCATCATTAATATACAATTTCTTTCTCTTCTAGCAAATTAAGGATTCAAATTTATGATCGAATTCTACCTTAATTTCCTTCCGGATGTCATTAGCAAGAGAGCTATTATCCCCTCGAAGCACCTACAGAAAAAAACACTAAACATATAAACCACAACCTCTCTGATATAAACAATAACAATTATGGAACATAAAAAAACAAACAAAAAGTTTTCAACTACTTTCAAAATGACAAATTGTCAGAAAACAAAATAAATATTCATTCAGGCTACCATAAGAACACACAGAAGACATCAAAAGAAAGTTTTAGCACCTTATGAAGCACCGTAACTGGATTACTATCTATTTGTCCGCAAACACAACTAAAGTAGGTTATTTATTAATCCAAAGCAATAGAAAAAAGGCATGCTTGAAATCTAGGAAAGCATACACATACAATGCGTTGATTGAATATAATGACAATGCAAGGGTGTTAAAAAAATGTGTCTGAAACAAACTATCATAAGACAAAAACCCTATTGTTCAAGTTTTCTCCTTTTCTAAAAAGAGGACATACCTGTGCATCAAGTGCACTGTCCAAAACTTGAGGTAGTAAACGTGCAGGATGCCCCAGTCTCACCAACTTTACTCTTAATGAAAAAAATGAAATAGAAAAAGATAATTATTTGTACTCTTACACACTAGAGGAAACAAAACAAGTCAAGAAAGAAAACTAGTGCATGAAATGGCAACTTAATTCATAAATGTTTTTCCATTATCATCAATCTAACTATCAAGTTTCTTACAGTTTCATGAAAAAGGAAAGAAAAATCAAATTAGAGAATAGTTAAATGCCAAAAAGAGTTTTCCAGTAGTTGAAAAGTATATTTCACATTCGAGCAAAGGGCAGGCTGAAATATGGTTTTCATTCCTATTAGCCAATGGCTACACCCAGGCCAGTATCTGATGAAAACTCATTTCAACCTTAATAGATTTAGCAAAAGAACATTCCAACGAAAGCTCAACCATACAAATTTTATCAACTTAAGTTTTAAAAGATAGAAAGCTAATGAAACCTTATAAGTCCAACAGAACCACAGTATAAGAAGATTAGAGGTTAAACTTAAAGTGGCGTGGTTCTCAATCTCAAATACAAAACACTTCCTCTCAATCTCAAATACAAAAATACTTCTTAATAGGTTAGTACTAAGAGTTGAATGCAGGTATCATCTTCCTGTATATCACTGCCTACTTTACCTGTGGGGAACAAGTCGCTCAATAATGTTATCAACAGCAATATTTGAAGCAGCACAAGCAAGAATCTTTGAGCCACCCTTCACTTCTTGTAAGATAATTTCCACTACTGTAGTAGTTTTCCCAGTACCAGGAGCACCATGCAGCAAAAATACATCCTTTGATGATAGGGCTTTTGAAATGCCATCTTTCTTGAAGAAAAAAGCACCAGAAACTGAATTAAGTTAATATGTCAACGGAAATAGACAGTGCCTTCCATTCTAAAATGGAGAACTGATCCCCACCAAAAAAAAGGAGGAAAAAGGTAAAAGTTAATGAACTATTTATCGTCCGAAAAGCATAAGCATTAGGAATGCATATAATTACACACCCAAGAGTGATCAAGGTTAAAGTTAAAAGGTGAGAATGTAACATCCCTCTTTGAAAATGTTAGCAGTCTCTCTCCAAACAAGACAGGAACTAGATCTGCAGCAGGCCCCTTCAGTACACCTTTAGTCAATTGTATTAAGGCATCCTTCATCCTACAATATGTCACCTGCACGGAAATTAATTTGAATTATTTTTCTTATTCGCTTAATCTCTAAGAAAGTATGGTGCTGAGTCTTCTATACTAGTTCTATGACTTTGATCTGCTTCAGGCTTGTAAAGATGGGACAGCATGTATCAAAGTTTGACTTCTACATGATTCCCAAGGTTAACACTGAGAATTTTTCAGATAGAATAAAGAACTGAAAAGCCATTCTGTGGTACAATAAGCAGAATTCAAGTTTACTTAAACACATACAAGGCAAAGGAATTCTTATCTATATTACATGTTAAGAGTAAAGCCAGTACAAAACAAAGAATTGATTGAAGAATCTTAGTTGCATACCTCATTGACCACTTTTTCTAAACGCAAGGGACTATTCAAACCTTCTTCTGGGATGTCATCAAAAGCAACAGTGATTGAGGAATCCTGCTCAATATGCCCATGAAATCAGCAGCACAGAAGTTACGGAGAATTACATGTAACTAGAAACAACAAACTCTACAGTGCAATAACAGTTTCTTTTAGGAATTAAGAGTCCCAATCACCTTTAGCTGGTAAACTACACCTTGCCCAAGTGCAGGAGATTCTGAATCAGCTTTGTTCAGTTTTAATACAGCTACATCATGGGTACCAAACTGTATTGCAAAATAAATAAACATTTAGAACTCTAAAATCTCTTTCAATACTGGAAAAGGGTTTAAGAAACAAGACAAAATAAAAGACAAGTCCCATCATTTTCCTTGAATGGAGCAATTATAGTGAACTTTCAATAGTGATAGGGCAGGAGATATTTGATGAATGTTTCTCATTAATTGAAAAAGAATAAAACTGAAAAATAAGATTGAAGTATGAAACTACACGCTGAAGGTAGGGTCTACTTTCAGTTACACTTTGTATCAGAAATTTAAAACAACAAGTCACCCAAAGCAATTACAATCCTTTTTATTTCTTCCTAAAACTAAAATAATCAATTAATATATTTTTTCCAGAATAATAATATTAAAACATTTTTCACTCAAATCCATTTTTCATTCCACTTAATTCACTTGGTGAACTAAGCTAAAATCATAATGGCTTGAAAATTGCAAAACCAAAAACCATTCTTATGTGTTTAGAATTTGGAGATGCAGGGAGCAAAATCAGATAACAGTGCATAAAATAAGAAAAGTACAAATATTGCACCAAAACCATCTTGCCACTATGACTCCTCACCTTGTGAGTAGGAAGAACATCTCCTTTGGTGGATTGAAACTCAAGCAGTGTTTTGCCCATCTACCCTGTCTACTTTGAAAACTAAACGCAAAACAAATTATAAAATAACTGAGTGATTCAATGTTCTATTTTGGTAGCAAATATGGGAAACATGAAAAAAAAGAAAAAAAAAAGAAAAAAGAAATCCACTTTTTCTTTTTTCTTTTTTCTTTTTCTTTTGATATTTTATTAAAAATAGAAAATTGCTAGCCTCACCATTGCCTCATTTTGCAGTTCATTACTAAGCAATAACCGGGAGAGCTTTACACTTTAAACAATAATCAACCAATATGTGCGTTTTCATTCATAAAAATTCTTCAACTTTTTGGTACCCAACGATTGGGAAGACTATTTACAGAGACATCCAATTCTGAATTGGCGATCAATATTAATGAAACCTAGACCCAATAGCAACGGAAACTTAAGAGTTCGAAAAATCGAAACAGAGAATTTAGAAGGGGAGAAAAAAAACCTTCTCCAAATCGATTAAAGGAGTCATATTGGAGATGAACTGTTGCAAAGTCACAGCAGTCGATTTCTTCTTCGTCTTGTCTCCCACCATAGCCATTCAAGCTTCGCTTCTGTTGCTGCTGTGTAGTTTAGAGAGAGGGAATAAGGGAATTTCCCCTCTTTAGGAGGTTTACTAAAATGCGTAAAATATTACTCTAGTCCTCAACTTTTGGCCTTGGCTCGTAAAGTTTCCCTCCATTTTTAAAACCAAGCCACCTTCACCTTGACAAGTTTTTGATGACTTCACAGCATTTTGTTTGGTCTGAAAGACGGAAGAGGAGGGGAAGAAAAATAATTAAGATCAATCAAATTATTTCGTTCGTTGGTCTAACAGCTTAATTCCATTGATTGAAAGAAAATCACCTCTTTCCCTTTCTTTCACCTTCTTTCCTTCAAACAAAACAGGGTATTAATGATGTTTCAATGGTTAACTTCTATAATTCAATCGAATAATAGTCACTCTTTTAACTAGTTTCTCTTAAACATCTACTTCAATTACAAACCTTATCTCTTGTGATGCTCAAAAGTTAACCTAAATCTAATACTTTTGATAGACTAAAATCTAGACAACCAACAATTGCTGTGTATATCAACATTTCAATGTCAAATGCAATTACCAAAATAAGTATCTTTTTTTATCAACCAAAAAAGAGCGTATAAAGCAGTACTCCAATCCATACAACACATTACCTGTAAAAACTCATCGAGCCACTACAAGGACATCATCACCTAAGTTCAAAAATTAATAAAACAAGGATGATCAAAAGGTCTGGCATCATATTTTTTTGATGACTTTCTAGATTAATAACAATAGATAGAAATTAATCTTTCTAAGAACATCTTACTATTCATTTTCCTGAGAGAATATAGATGTAGCAGATTAGGCAATAAACTGAAATTCCCTGAGTTGGGGACAAAGAATCTTATTCCTTCGAGTTCTTTATGTATTCATTACAGTATTCAGAGCTACTTAGATACTGGCCATGCTCCTCAAAGTACTCCATAAATTGCTTTAAGAACCTGTCACTTACTGTTTTGGAATCACAGACAAGGCAACACTATCTTCTTGCTCGAGTCACAGCCACATTCATTCGCCTGCAGTCACTTGAAAACCCCACCTAAACATATTTAAAATGCCACAATTTTATTTTCAATAAGAATTCACCATAGGAAAAAATAGTTAGAACTTGGAATTGTAGCTTAGAGTACCTCTTTGTTAGGGTTTGATCAAACCAGTGAAATCATAGTGGCTTCCTCGTCTCGACCTTGGACACCCATCAACGGTTGAGATCTTTACATCCTTTTTAGCCGGTCCTCATTGCTTCTCAACATCTTTAGTTAGACAACCTGAAATATATTTGGAATTTTAAAAAACAAAACATCATATATTGGTCATATTGCAAAAGAAATGGGAGTAGAGGGAGGGGAAATATCTAGCTAGTATTTTGGTCCTCACTTTATTAAGCAAGTTACAAAGTATATAAACTAGACAATTAACTAGAGCACAGTTCACTGTTTGGTACCTGGGCAGCATATAGGGTAATGTAATAGTTACAATGGACTCCACTTTAAGTCTAGTCTCTTTGTATGTGAAAAATCAAACTCAGCTTCACCTTGATTTAGTGTGTTGTCTTCATCTTTCTTTTAATCCATGTCATATCTAAAGTAGATCAATCATGTATCTTCCACAAATTTAAGGGCTTAAATCAATAAGTCCTAATAAAATTTGATTACAGAATCAATGTCAAGTCAGGAAGTATGGTTCTTATTCTTCTGAATTACTCTAGTTTTATTACATTCATGCTTGTTAAGAATCAAAGTTTAACTTTAAGATTCACAAGATCCAGAGTCTAAACTTTTATATAAAACAAAACAATCTCACTTAAACACATTAATAGAAGGGAATTATTGTCTACCTCACATTATAATTAAAGCCAATATGCTAACAGTACACAAAGAAAAGTATAACTATTGCACCAAAACCAACAAAAATGTTAGAGCTCTAAACCATTTATTTGAGTCCTCACCTTGTGAGTAGGAAGAACATCTCTTTCTGTGGATGAAACTCAAGAAGTGTTTTCCGCATTAGTCCTATCTACTTTGAAACCAAACTCAAAATAAATTATAAGATAGTTGAAGATTCATTCCATTTTGGTAGCAAACAGAAAAATGGAAAACAGCTTTCGGAACTAACACTTGCTATCATTAAGATAATTTCCTATTGTTCAACTTGTCTTAAAAAATGAGGGCTAACCCATGCATTGAGTGTACTGTCCAAAACTAGATGTAGCAAACGTGCAGGATTACCATTGTTGCATTGGGAAAGATATCATTATGCACCTCAGGCTGAGAGTGATCAAGGATGGAGTAGAAAGGGGTGAATGTAACATCTTTCTTTGACAATGTTGGAGGTCTATCACCAAACAAGACAGGAACTAGAACTGCAATAGGTTCTTTTAGTACACCTTTACTCATCTGTATCAATGCATCCTTAATCCTACAATACGTCACCTGCATAGACAAATCAATCAGGATTATTTTCCTTACAAGCTGGCAGTGAATTTGATTAAAGAATCAAATCTTGGCCACTTAGGTAAGAAAGTGCGGCACTAAGCCTCCTATTCTAGTTAAATTGCTATGATCTCATTTAGGCTTGTACAACTTGTATGTGATTCCTAAGGTCTACACTAGGAACCTTTTAGAGAGTACAGAACTGAAAAGCCATTCTCGACTCCCAGTGTTCTTGTATTGTTGAACAAGAAGCAATCACACAACAGAAGAGAACAAGAAGAAGAAGAACAAAGAAGAAGAGAATCAATGATTCATGAGTTGATTGTTGTAGGTTGGAATTCCTGCTTTCTCTCCAACTAATTCATCAAAGATTAGATTGAAAGCACATATTTATGTATGGACATGGTACAACCAAGATACATAACAATGCAACAAAATACATAAGAATACAGATGGTGTTCTAAATAAGTTTTTCACACAATTAATTTACAGAGAGAGCATGAAAACACAAGAATCACATTAAAACAATCCACACAAGGGTAGTAGAAGGGACATCCTTTGAAGCTCGGAAGGAAAAGCAACAACAGACTGGTTGAATGAACCGGCTTCCTGATCCACTGAAAAAACAGAGAGAAATTCATTACTGGAAAATCATGGTGAAGGGAAATTACGCACTACTAATACATTTTTTTTTAGCGAATTTATATATATGCATTTTCATTCATTAAATTTTTTTTTCAGTTTGTAGGAAATGAATGCCAAAACAAAGATTTGCAGAGAGTAACACCTAAATTAAAATAGCAAATTGATCCTTACCTTTCAATCTTGTGGATTATCGACCGATTCCGACTGTTTCGATTCCGATTGTGGAATCCTGGATTGTCCAAAAAATTGAACCATGGGTCGAAGGAGATCCTTTGCGTTGGAATGTTCCCACTCCAACGATTCCCACCATTCTAGTTCTCGTCGACGTATAAGGATTTTTTTGAGGGTGGGAGGAGGAGGAGATGGTTGGGCGTTATCAAGCAGGGGAAGAGAAAGAGGCATCCTCCTTAGGCCTTTGCAATCACAAATTCTAATCTCTTCAAGAAAATTACATACCATTACTGCCCTCCTGCCACAGATGCTCTTCAAGGCTGGCAAGTTTTGTAAACTTAGCATTTTTAATTTTGGAAGAATGAGCTTCTTGATGATGTCCCCTCCTTCTTCTTCTGGATCTGATCCTATTATTTCTTCCATTTCTTCACATTTGTAGAATTCAATACTCTCTAGACTTTGGAGATATTCCACCAACTTCCAAGATGGAAACAACTTATTTCCTCCTTTGCATTGGCTAATTCTAAGTTTTTTAAGAGATGAAAAAGTGCTAGGCTGAGGTGGTGACATGGCAATCAATTCTACTTCGAACACCCAATCCAAGTTGTCCAACCAAACAAGACGTAGACTAGGAGGGAAATGAAAAGGAATCCTCCTTAGGCCCTTGCAATCCATAATTTCAACCTCTTTAAGAGAATCACATACCATTACTGCCTTCCTGCTACAGATGCTCTTCAATGCAGGCAAACCCCACAATTTCAGGGTTTTTAGTTTTGGAAGAATGAGCTTCTTGATGATGTCCTCTCCTTCTTCTCCTTGTTCTTCTGGATCTGATGCTATTATTTCTTCCATTTCTTCACAACCGACTACTTCAATCCACCATAGACTCTGGAGATAATCCAGCAACTTCCAAGATTGAAACAACTTCTTTAATTTTTTGCATGAATAAATCAAAACTCCTGTAAGAGATGAAAAAGTCCCAGGTGGAGGTGACGACTTCGCAATGATGTTTGCTTCAAATAGCCCATCCAATTTGTCCAACCGCTGAAGATACAGATACTCAACGGTTTGGACGACTGGGTTGTTTATCCACGAGGGAAAAATGCACTCCATGCCATCACATCCGTGAATCCTACATTCCCTCAAATTTGTTGCATCATTGATGGTAGAAAAATCATTTAAGCTTCTTATGTCGTGGCAAGCATCAACACCTAATGCTTGTATGGAGGAGGGAAATAACATATTCTCTCCAACAATACTAGTCTTCCTGAACACCACTATTTTCTTAATTTTCCCATATGTTGGCAGACTTCGTTGATAAGAATCATCCAGAACAAATTCGCTTCCAACATTAATAAAATAGTCACCCAGCCTATTAGGTTGACATTTGAGAAAGATTCTCATTTCATTCGCAGTGGGGAACCAGCCATGAAAAACTTCCAATTTCTTCAATCTCCCAACCACGTCCCCTTTCAATTTTATTCTGCTCCAATTTACAATTAGTTCCTCAAGTTTGGACAGATTTAACAATACTCCATCTGCTATTTCATCTATTTCAAGATTGTAACCTCTTTCTGATCCACAAAGAAAAAGACATTTCAAATTCTTCAACATTCCCAGGCCTTCAGGGACTTCTTTGATTTTTGTCCGATACAGGTTTAACCTTTTCAAGGCTCCAAGGCCTGATAAAGATGGTACCTTTTCTAAGGATGTTGATTCCAACAACAATGCAGTAAGCTTCACCAATTTGGAGATGGAATTTGGCAAGCTACCTAACTGCAGATTGAAGGACAGATCTAGAATTTTTAGCTCTGGCATGTGCTCAAAGACAGATTCTGGAATTGTTGACAATTGGTTACCGGCCAGCAGCAAGGTTGTGAGCCTTATGCATATTGAAAATGCAAAGCTCGATGGAATTTCTTCAATAGAATTATACAGTAATGAAACCTTTTCAACATCTTCTGTACATTTTACCTTCTCTGGTAGCTCTATCAATGACTTGCCAGCTGCAACCAAGAACCGAGGGCTCGTTTGTGTAATGTGCAAGGCCATGTCCCTGATAAGATCATGCATCCTCACACAATCTCCTCGAAAGCCATCTCTAATGAATTCTAACAAGCTATTGTCTTCAAGCTTCCTCAAAATACTATAAGCCTCATCCGTCATTGATTGCCGAGAGTCCATTTCATCTATAAACCCCTCGTCAATCCAGTTTTTAATTATTTTCTTTTCCAGAATCTTGTAATCCTCAGGATACAATGCACAGTATAAGAAACAATATTTGATCTGTTGGTTTTCCAAACGATCATAACTGAACTTTAATATCCGAAATGCATCAGCATCTGTACCTGCTACATTTCTTTTGCAATCTCTCAATTGATTCAGTGCAACACTCCACAACCGTGACTCAGATACTCCTTTTAAGCTGCCAGCAACTGTAATAAGTGCCAATGGAAGACCATCACATTCATCCACAATGTCCTTCAAAGTTGATTCTAAATCCCTTTTAATGCCTCCTCCTGGACATGATAAAGCTGCATCTCCAACTTTATTTAAAAACAATTTTAGAGCTTCATCTTTTGAAAGAGTCTCCACTTTGATTCTTCTACAATCCATTGAACGAGCAACCTCTTGTGAGCGTGTAGTCAATACTAACTTGCAGCCATTAGTAACATTTGGCTCAGGAATTCCAACAACTTCAAGGTTGAAACTGCTCCACACATCATCAAGAATCAGCAAGAAAGGCTTGTGTTTTTCTAGCATCTTTGATAACATTGCTGCACGATTAATTGCATTTTGACGCTGATCTAGGTTTTCCTTCAAGCTGCTCGCAATTTGATCTTGCAGGTTGTAGATTTCAAAGTTTTGTGACACAGTTACCAAAATTATTTTATTGAATTTACCTTCTTTCAGCAGTTCATTGTGGACATGCATCATGATTGTTGTTTTCCCGACTCCCCCCATCCCCCAAACTCCAAGCTTTGTCACCTCTTCTCCCTTCAAACATGCCAAAATTTCTGCTTTAACATCGTAACTGCCTTGTATTTGTGATGTTTGCAGTTCAGTTGTTGAGGTTGATGGATCATCTACAACTAAACTCTCTGGTAATTTACTTCCATCTTCACATAATCGTTCCATTTCTTGAATCTTTTCTTCGAGAAGCTTTGCTAGGGAACCCGAAGCACGTAACAGCCATCCGCCTTTCTCGATTTTATCTTCAATATCTTTGGCAACAGGCCCAGTTATTTCTTCCACTTCTTCTAGCCAATGGTTGACTTCCTCCTTTGCCTTTTTTCCATGGACAAGCTGTGAACTCAATGTCGAGTCAATGTCTCGTTGTTTGCGCTGCAGCTTCTCTTTTGATTCTTTAAAGTTCTTCAAATAATCATTGAAGTTCATCTGATATTTCAGATATCTCACAATTGGACCACCAACAAGCTCCACAATTTTAATAATTGACTCTACCAACTCCATCGTACAATCACTGCATCATAGTACATGTTTACATAAAGATGTGGTCAGAAAATATTTGTTTGCATGTAAAAGCATTCTTATCATGCATTCTAAGAAGGAACTTTTGGACTATCAAAAAGTACTTAAAGAATAGTCATTCTATCGTATTAAACATAACCTTTAATTATTCTTGTTATTTTCTTGAAGTATTTTTTTGATAGAAACCAAAATGCAACAAAGTTATATGCAAGTGGATTCAAAGAATGAAACATAAATCAAATGAAACGGAGAGAGTACAACTTTGACCTTCAAGTACTTAGAGGACACAAACTAAAAAAACAGGGACATTGTTATATGCATTTGGATTCCAAGAAAGAGACATAAATCAACTATATAGTTAATTGAAAGAAGAAAATACACCTTGCTTAAATTGAAAGTGTTTTATTCAAATACAAGAAGGGATTTGATCAATGTGCCTGACAAAAAGGCTTCTCCACAAGTTGCATGTGAAGTACAAACCAAAATGTAACAAAGTTAAAACGAAGAAAATTACTATGCATTCTAGGAGAAGAAGAGTATATATAAATCAAAGAGAAGATTATGCTACTATATATTAAAGTTTAATGACAATTAAGATAAAAAATTATAAATATCAAAGTATAATGAAAAGATTATGCTACTTGTTGTTAAAGTTTAATGAAAAGATTATACTACTACTAGACTATACTCTTCTAAGTATAAACAAATCAAGCTTTGAGGGAAGAAAAACGAATGTGAAAAAACATAATTTAGGAATTAAGAACTATATATACCTGCTACCTGAAAATTGTGCTTCTTCAATTTGAGAGTTTTCTAGAATATTGAAAATGTCGATTGCAGAATGTGATGTAGAATTCACCAAACTAATGGAATCTGCAAAAAAAGAATTCGATATGAAGATCAGGTTTTCATAGAGCAAGAGCAAGAACAAGATAAGAAAGTAAGTTTTAGCATTTTCAAGCTAAGGCTACATTAAGGTAAGTATTGGCATTTTCATAACTTGACTTAAGAAATCTACATTGCAACGGTACAGCAAAGCAAAAGTTTAAGTGCAGAATTTAGAGACATGAAATAGTATTTATGTGCATGAAAGATAGAAACCTACCTTTGATTTTTTTATCTCCCTTTGTTTGCTTGTGCTAGAACCTTTTAAAAGGTGATTTTTTTTTTTTTAATTGAAAATCTGCAAGAAGTGAAAACATGTAGCTGTGTTAGTTGTACAGATACTTTTATCCTGCTTATTTTCTGAATGTGTGAACTGAACTAAAAACTGCACATATAGGTGAAAGAATGAATCATAATTCATGTTGCATAAGAATCTATGGTATGATACCTAAGCTATATGTTAGGTAAGAACTCCCAAAGGACCTTAAGTAAGTTAAAAGAAAGACATCTAGATCCTCTGCACAATAGGAAGAACTAGGGCTGGTCCATTGATATGCTGGCATGTACACCCACAAGGGAAAAGCCCATAGATAGGAATTTGCATTCATTTAAATACATAACAAACATAAAGTTATCATGCTAACTGTTTTAGGAGATATGATTTATATGCTCATGTTTGGGTGATACCCTTGATCTAACCGTTCAGTTTTTGAAAAACAACGTTTGATGGAATTAGTTCTGCTTTGGTAGCAACAGAGATTTTGTTTTCTAATTATCTTCAGAATATGGCTTAAGTTAGCTTCTACATTTGAAAGTTAATTTAATTGCTTATGCTAAACTTACTGAGCTTTGCAGATCATGGAGTTTTCATTTCATTGTTGTTACATATAGAACTAACTAAGGGTAGTGTACTCATTTTGGAAGCCTAGGAAGAATCTACCAGTCCAATTGTACGCCTAGAGCTAACATTAGTAAGACAAATTTGTACTCTGGCCAAAACCTAGTCCTCGCTCTCTGATTTTGTGCTTGAACTTATGAACCTTTTGGTGTTATGAAATACAAAGAGCAGTTGTAAGAAAACCTTATGTTTTGTTATGTAAGCTTTGTAAAAGAATTTAGAAAACATGTACATAATGAAAGGACTGGACTATTATATTTCTTTGGTTATATTTTGAACCATATAATTATAAGTGTTTGCTGTCAATGTTGTTAGTTTTTGGAGTTAGAACTTGCACCACCTTTCCTAGTCCAAGATTCCTAAGTTAACACATACTTTTATAACTTGGTCTCGAAGGTGGTTATTACTTTATAAGTTTTACTGAAAACAGGTCAAGGTGCAGTTCTATTTTTGCACAAAGGTTTATATGTTTTTCTTTACAAATCTAGTAAAGTTCTGCAGTTCATTAGCTGGAAGGCAACTTTCCATGCACCAGAAATGTTCTAAGTTCTATAAACATGAAATATATTCAACAGTTACTTGATATTTGAAAGGCTTTAAAATTTGAACTATATGCTCTATTTTTAGTTGGTTTACTTGTTTTGCTAGGAGTCAAGTTTGTCTTGAAAGGTGCTACACTACAAGTATATATAGTAAACTAATTGATTATGGAATATATATTTTTCATGTTTAAATATGTGTGGCAGGACAAAGGAAAAAATGTTTGGAGAACAGACACATGTTGGTGACCCTACAGTTAGTAATGGTGGCCAAAATTCTGGGGCTGGTAGAAACACTGGAATTTCAATGGATATGTTGCAGACTATAGTGCAGCAAACTGTTCAACAGACCTTCTAGAATATGAATTAGCAACAAAATACGCAAGGACAAACCAGAACTAAAGAAGTTCCAGTTCGAGTGGAAGTTGAACAAATAGAGGATGATCCAAAATATCGAAGTTAAGATGAAATTGAATAGGGGTGTTCGTGGTGTTCGTGGTGTGGTTTAATTCAAATTTTAACATTTTTTAAACCAATTCAATTTACTATTATATGATAACTAAACCAATCCAACATAAATTGGATCAGTGTGGTTCAGTCGGATTTAAATAATATAAAAGTATTTTAATCTTAAATAGATTACATAACTACAAAACACATTAACATTCAAATGAGTCTAAATATAACAAAAGATACAAATTATAAATATTATAAATAAATTCGTATACTCCTTTACAATTGTAAAAATTGAATAGATTAAAATATTATTCTTGGTTACATCATTAGAGGCATCAAGAATAATAAAAAATGACTTCAAGTTTATAGCACAATGAAAATAATTTTTAAATGTTAAAATTAGTTTTTTTTTAATACACTAATAATTTAATCTCACCTTCTAAATCTTGTTAAAAGTGAATAAAATTTAACATGAATATCACTAAAATTAATTATAAGCATTCATAATCAAAATTTAAAACTTCTAAACCAAATATTCAACAATAGTAGAATATTAAGACTAGTTTTACTATATAGATTTAAGAATTTTAGAATTATACTTCTTTAGAACTTAGTTAGGAGAATCATAATATTATTTTAGTAACAAGTTAAAAATTTAGGATTTTAAGAATAAAGGCACAAACGAACTCTAAAGAGATAGAGTTGTAAGTGAATTAAAAATTTCAAATTAGGATTAAAGTGCATGATTAAAATGAAAAAATAACTTATAAAATATGGAGATGTTCTATTTTTATTTTTTTAATTAAGTTAATAGAATTATTATCTTGTAAAATAAGAAAAAAAAATTTAAAATACTATAAAAAATATATTATATCATTTAATTAATTTATCTTATAATCAAATTTTATTTTATAATCGGATTCGAGCGGTTTGAAAATAAAATCACAAACCAAATCAATTATATCGATTTTAAAATTTTATAATTCAAATCAACCCAATTCTATGCTGGTTTAGATCAATTTTTGATTGGATTGGATTAGTTTAACTCGGATTAATGGGATTGGATCAGATATGAATACCCCTAAAATTGAGTGAAGACATTTGGAATCCACCAGCTTTTAAAGGAACTCAGGATACCAGAATTGCTGATGGATGGGTGAAGTATTTGAAGCAGATTTCCCAAGTAATAAAATGTGGAGATCAACATGAAGTTCACTTGGTTATTTTCATGTTGAGAGGTGAAGCGAGGAATTGGTGGGAGCCTATTCAGGATGGTTATAACAGGAGAAGAGAGGTGATTACTTGGATAAGCTTCATTAAAAATCCATATGAAACCCGCTTCTCTCAAACCACCCTCAATAGGAAGGAAGAAGAGCTGAATAATCTTAACTTAAGGGAAGATGACCATGGACCAGTATCAGGCCAAAGTCAGTGATTTGGTATAAGGCTACCTAAAGGTAAGTTTTAGCATTTGGTTAACTTACACTTAAGAAAACTGGAAGTTTAAGTTGCAATAACATGGTACAGGCGTACAGCAAAGAAAAAGTTAAGTGCATTAATTTAGATACATGAAATAGTATTTGCGCGTATGCAAGATAGAAACTTACGTTTGATTTTTTATCTTCCTCTGTTTGCATGTGCTAGAACCTTGTGAAAAATGATTTTTTGATTGAAAATCTGCAATAAGTGAAAATATGTAGCGGCCTTAGTTGTACAGTTACTTTATCTTACTTATTTGTTGAATGTGTAAACTGAACTAAGGATGAAGTAAATGCACATACATGTGAAAGAATGCATCATAATTCATAGTGTATAAAAACCAATGGTACGATACCAAAGCTCTGTGCTAAGAACCATGGCTAGTCCATTGCTAGCTAAAACATGTGTTTAGCCCTTTACCTTTGTAAGTTTCAAACTTTTAGCCTTTTATCTTACATTATAGAGTTTTTAGTCCCTGAACTTAAGTTTGTATTTGGTTGCGAGCAACTTTTCCCCTTAAAGTTCTCTAAACTTTCTACCTTATAAGGTTATTTACATATTTTTATACATTATAACTACAACAAAATGAGGGTAAAAGTAACATTTTTAATCTATATTTTCCTTGACACCAATTTCCAACTTGTAAAGTTTTCTTTCCACCTATTTTGCAAGGAAAAAGTTCTTCTATAACTATCCTTATATTGACCACACTTAACAAGTTTCCTTATAACAATTCTTTTCAAATGCAATAAAGTCAACAACCCAACAAAATCATAATAAAACTTCATTATAAAATTTAAGGTGAGTTTGGTATTGTGGTTGGAGTTTTTTCTTGTAGTGGTATGATATTCTTAAATATATGTGTTTAGTAATTTTTTTTGAATTACTTTTTCATAAAAAAGTGTACAAAATCACTATATATTTACATTAATCGTATATATAAAGTCAAAAAGTCTTATTTTGGAGTATTTTAATTGACTTTCACAAAAACACTTAAATATTTAATACAATTACAAAATTACTCATTAAAACTTAATTTCATTTAATTCAATTACACCACAATTTATAATATTTTATTTAAACCTAATATCTCATTTATTTGAAAATTTCATAAAAAATAAAAAATTTATTTTTTCATTATGAGTTACTCTATTGTGAAATCCAAAAAAAACTCATCATTAGAAACCTAAAAAATCTAAATTAATAATTAATAAAATTTATTATATATTGTCAACAATACTTTTAAAAATTAAATAA